CTCCAGATATTTCCCTTTAACAGACATTTTCAGTTGTTATAAATATAGGATCAGGGAAATGTAGATATATATTATAGAATCCTACACACTATTAAAATATTAACTTAATTTTGAACTTCCTGGGACCAAAGCAAATTTGGACTAAGTCAATGGCATGGTTCATATTTGTAAGGACCAAGAATGATGAAACTTTAGCAAAACAAAACTTTAGGGACATAAATTTGGTATTTCCTGATGGGTCATCACAAATGGGGCAACCGATGCTCACCTTAACAATATCCTTACAATAATCATCTTAAAGAGAAGGAGGAAAGTTTAGTATAACATGATGTTATGATTTGGATGTATTTGGTCCTGCCAAAACTCATGTTGAAATTCAGTTGCCATTGTACAGTGGTGGGAGGAGGTGGCTTTAGGAGGTGATTAGGATGTTAAAATAGATAAATGCCTTTCTCTTGAGACTGTGTTAGTTCTCCTAGGAATGGATGAGTCTCTGTGTGAATGGGCTGTTCTAAAGAAATACCTCTTCTCACGTTTACCCCTTTTCAAACACGCCCGCTTTCCCTTTTGTTTCTCTGTGTCCATTGTGACACAGTATGAGGCTCTCACCAGAAGCCAACCGGTTGCCAACATCATGGTTCTTGAGGTTCCCAGCCTCTAGAGTCATAAGCCAAATAAAACTTTTTTCTTTAAATTACCCAGTCTCAGCTATTCAATCAATTACCCAGTCTCAAGTACTCCATTATAGCAACACAAAATGGACTAAGACATAAAACTTTCTTTGCTCTGTGTATAAATAAAATACTTTAAAAAATTGAGCCTGATAGATTTTCCTCAGTGCAAATCACCACCAGAGAGTAGATCAGGCCTGTAAGAGAAGGCCTAACTGGGTTCTAAGTGACTCGAATTCACTTTAGAAGTAACAATCAGCTTGCTTACCAAGGAACAGAGCCCCTTTCTCCATTCTTGCGAAAACATGGCACTAAATTGAAAAGGGTTAAAAGTTCATTTTTTAAGTTAATATTTGCATCATATGTCAAGAGCTTTGCTAGGTCCTAGAACATTTGATCTTCTCAGTTGCCGCATTATTGTAGATGAAGATATTGAAACACAGAATGATTAAATGGTTATTTTTGCCCAGGACAACAATGGTGCAAAAGAAGAACTGAGATTTGAACCCAGATCATTTCTGGGTTCTTCCACCAGGCTGATTAATGTCCTTCTTAAGATCCATGCCAGGCTTCTTCCACCATGCTGATTAATGTTCTCTCTAAAGTAATCATTATCAATGAAAGACTGATAAGGGAGAGAATACATTATCATTTATGACAAAACATAGATCGCAAGGCACAAGAGCTCCACATACATCCTAAAATAATACAAGAAAACAATCTTCTTGTACAGCTCATCTTAGAAGCTTGAATACATGTACCCTGCATCTTTTTGCTACATGTGGGAAGGATGTCATTTCCAAAAATGTAGATTCCATTGAAATGTGAAAGAGGTCAAGTCAGCCAACAGGGGTCTTGTCCTAAGTTGTAACTGAAAAGCCATCAGCAAGCAGGCTCAGCAACCCTGTCTAACATTCTAAAGCCAGACCTCCTGTTTATTAGGCTATGCGGTCTAGTGGAAACGCAAAGATTTCAGAAACAGATGGAGGTTTAAGGCTGCTACCAGCATTAACTAGCTATGTGACCTCATTTAATCTCTCCAATTCTCTTTTCAGTCCTCCCTTTCTTTTTCACTAAAAGGAATATGCGTCTTGTTGTGGAGGTTTGAGATGCTGTATCAAAACTTCATGGCTTAGTAGATGCTCAAAAAATGGTTATTATTGTTGTTATGGTGAGTTTGTGGATGCCAAGGAGAAAGACAGCCTGTATGATTAATGACAATTTTGTTTTTTGAGCTCACTGTGTTCAGTGAAACTTTAATACCAAATTATATCTAATATACTGGCATGCATTGTGGGGAAACAAGATGGATGAAACACCAACTCTCTGCCGTCAGGAACTTCGTAACCCATAAATAAAATAATTTATAGAGTTTGGAAGCAGTTCACTTTGTTGGTAGAAAGGGCTCAAATAAAACAATAATGGGAGGTAAGGTCATAAACGTCAGTTGAGGCCTGTCGCAGGTCTTGAATGCCAGCAGACAGAATTCATTCTCAGCTTGGCAAGATTCTGTGAGCAGAAAAGCAATGGAAAAAAAAAATCCTACTTTTTATTTAGATAGCTTCATCAAGTGAAGAAAGTGGTAGAAAGGGGTCTGGCTAACGATGTGGTCCAGTGTGAGAAAAGCATGAAGTTGGGAGTTGTTTTTCCAAGGTTGGTGGAAGAAATGAGCTGGTTCTCTGCTTTCCCTCTTGGGGTCTTTCTGGGACCCCAAAAGGAAGTAGAAAGTAGTTAGCTGAGTTTGAAGGTGGTTTGTATGGAACAGGGCAAAACTGACCAACTCCCTGGAGGGGAAGTCACCACTCAGTGGCATCCGACTTTCCAACCAGAATCTGTAAAACTTCTTGGGTCCAGGTCTCATCATGTTGCCCAGACAGCAAAGAAAAATAGTTCTCTTTGATTCTAGGCTCCTAGTCGAGAAAAACAACAACAAAAAAATACCCAGTACTCTAAAATAGCATTTTGATGAAATATGTAATTAAATGCCTATGCCTAATAATGGTTTAGTAATGCAATATAACTCCCAATTATTTTTATTAAATGATATTCTACTTAGAATGTCATTAGTATTTTCAGGATTTATTTTAATCATTAATCTTTAACATACAGGATAGGAAATGAAAATAGCAATCCTTTTGAATGTGAATCAGTAATTTGAAAAGATTTCCTGTGACTAAGTTAAAAACATCTTATTAATGCATTATATAATTTCTGTTAAAGAACTATATCCTTCCGTGAGTAGAGCATGATTCTGAACACTGGGCAGTGATTCAGTAGATAAGCAGATGAAGACTTAACAGCAGGCAAGTAATGTATTTAAGGTTGTTTATCAAAGTGTCTGACATATACTAAGTACCCCAAATAACAGGTGTTATTATTTAGAAATCCATTTGAATACACTTTCATCTCCAATTTGTATTTGCCAAATTAGCTCATACTTTGAACGTAAAACTATTTCTGCAAAAATAAGCTAAGTGTATTGTAAGTCTGTAGAAATGAGTCATCTAAGTTCATTACACCAAAGAAAAAACGTTCTCATCTGCAGGACAATATATACAATGATGCTAGCTTTTCAGCAAGATGAAACCCTGACTCACTAGCTTCAGTTACATTCATGAGAATGTATGTATTAAAGGATGGGGGTGTGCAGAAAAGTACACGTACCTATTTTTGGAAAGTTCCCAGCAACCAGGGTTAAAATAAGAGACTTCTTCTTAAACTCATTAAAATAACTAGAAAACTCTCTTTCGTAAGCATCATGACTAATCAGGGCTTAACTAGACTTGAAGATTTTTTTTTTTTTTTTTTTTTTTTTTGAGAGAGAGTCATACTCTGTCACCTGGGCTGGAGTGCAGTGGTGTGATCTTGGCTCACTGTAACCTCTGCCTTCTGGATTCAAGCAACTCTCCTGCCTCAGCCTCCCAAGTAGCTGGGATTACAGGTGCCTGCTACCATGCTGGGCTAAATTTTTGTATTTTTAGTAGTGACAGTGTTTCACCATGTTGGCCAGGCTGGTCTTGAACTCCTGACCCCAAGTGATCCACTGACCTCAGCCTCCCAAAGTGCTGGGATTACAGACGTGAGCCACTGCACCCAGCTAGACTTGAAGATTTCTTTCATGACTTATAGTTCTTCGAAACTTACCTTAAATTCCCTGTTTTGACTGGTAGGGGAAAAGAGTAAGGAGATAGGAAAAATTTAAAAGTATATTATCCTAAGATGTTTTGGAGTTTCCTAGGGCTCTAAAATAAAACAATGTCCATTGCTTTTAATTCTCTTAAATATATGTGTATCTGTGTGCGTATACTTAAATAGATATAGATAAATAGTGTGTAAAGTCTAACTGCAGAAAAATTACAATGTCATGAGAACACTTGACATAGTAAAAGGAGGACTCTTGCTGAGATTCAATTAAGAGTGGTTAACAGGTCTCATTGAATTAATTTGCATACATTTTCTTATTTAGCAAACCGAAGAGAAATCATCTTCATAGGTTTCTTGTCCATGTCATGTAGGTGGTTTTGCTTGGATGACAGCAAATCAGTCCTTTGATTCCATCAAGTCAGGCAGGGTATCAAACAGGTTAGTAAAAAGAAAAACAATTAGGAAAAGAAGTTGATCAACTCACACAACCGTCCCCAATAGACTCTAGCATAGCTTCGCTGAAGCATGTATTGTAAATTCAGTCTTCATTTTAAATGTATTTATGTTTCATACTTATCACTCTTTATAATCTTATAATTTGTATCCAATTATACAATTTATTATTTGTAAGGACTCCACAGGATAGAGACAAACGATACTTCAAGGCATTACCTAGGGTACAAATACCGTTTTAAAAAAGGAATGGAAGGTTTCCACAGACAATATACCTTCTGTGACAGACATTAGTGAATTTATAGCTTTTCCTTTCTCTCCCCCCCAGCTATGTGGTGATGCTTCTCTTCCTGACTCCCTCAAAGTTAGGAGTGGCCACGTGACTAATTCTGAATACTGGGTTGTGGCCAACCTGACATGTGTCACTGCTGGCTGGGACTAGTGTGAAACTTTCCAGCTCCCCTTCTCCTTATTGCGGTGACCACAAATGTCTCAGATGGTTGAGGCCCTGTCAGCGGGTCCCTGGGTGTGAAAGACAAGAGCAGGGCACCCTGTCAACATGGGTTGGGTCTGGAGCAAGAGTGAGGAATAACCTGTATTATGTGAAGTGGCTGAAGGGTGAGGGTTGTCAGCACTGCATAATCTAGCCTGTCCTAACTAATATACCTCCCTTGCTTGGCAAATGCAAAGAGTCCAGGTCATGAGTTTTAAAAAAGATACAGAAATGAAATGTGCTGGTGGCACAGTGAAATTTATTTGTCTTTATGATTTACACATAATAATTAAACACACAAAAGAATAAACACTGGCAAGATGGCCAAATGTGGCTAGGAAATGAGTGGTCCCAGTGCAATCATACAAATGTTCATTCGGTGTAAAAATGAGTTTCTTTTTAATGGTTTTAATCTTGCTTTTTTTTTTCAGTCCCCAAGGCTTGTACCATTCCGTACAAATGTTTTTGCTATTGGGTTATTAGGCACATGTTTACCAATTCCCAGGAAATGAAAAAAATCAACAGAAACATCCTGTGACAATAGAGCACATTTTCATAGAAATGAAATTGATGAGCTTATTACAGTTTGAATCAGTTCAGCTATTAGATCTACACAGAAAACATTATTAACAAATTATATTTGTATTGTTTTTATTTAAAAATATTTATCACACTTTTTTTGTGCAAGGGTTTCATTGATATCTTTGGTTTTAAACACTATAGATCTATTTTACCTAAATATATATACTTCTATTTGTACCAAACATCAAAAATCAAAAAATTAAACAAAATTTCAAAAGGTAAAAATGGAATTATTGCTTTGATATTAAAAAAAAGGCCTAGTCCATTTCAGAACTATTGCCATTATTGCTTTTCTATTGGAAAATTATCCTGGAAATCAAGGAATGTACCCCATAGCTCCCTGCAGAAAGTATAATTTGGTTGAACATCACATTATCATCATATTAACATGACCCCACCTTCACCAAAGCGATCCTGATCTTGTCCTTAAAAAATAAAACAAAGCAAAATAGCACAAATAAATAAGTTTACCTAAGGGGATACAATAAATAGCCTCCTAGATAGGAATAAAGAATACTGTGACACAAAGCCCTTCAGTGCTGTACACTTCAACAATCGCTTTGGATTTTCAAGGTCTCTAAATGCAGCCTCCATTTCATAACACAGTTTTACCGCTGGTATGCAACTGACAGAACAAGACAATATATATTTCTGTTGTTCTCCTCACATGAGAGTGAATGCACAGCAGATAAAACCATCAATTCTGCCTTTTGGGAATTTACTTGGGCATGTACCATTGTCAGTTTTTGACCTCTGCCTAACTGTAGGGCAAAATCTTAGGATTAAAAATATCCAAATAATATTCCTTCAATTCTTAGTGGTTTCTTAGTCTCCAGAATAGTTGAAAACAGAGAGGAAATTAAACTCAAAAGTTTTGCTGCCTTCTTTTCTTGGCATCCATCGCATCCAGAATGGGCTGTCTTTTTGCAGTGTATCTCTGACGAAGTTCTTCTATCTCTCGTTCCATCATAGGGTCCAGTGCTTTTAACCGCATCTGTAGTTCTTCTAAACTTAGATTTTTCAACTAGATATAGAAACAAACAAAGATATTAATACAGTGAAAGTAATGTCTCATTAATGTCTAATGAGTTTTAACATGAATATTTCAGTACATTATTTACATCATCTTTGAAGTATGGTTAAAATATTACAACAGAAGTTTCCTCCTTGAAGAACCCAGAGGCCATATCTTGCAAGAACCTCGAGTAATCTCCAGTGAAACAATCCAATCCTCTGTTTTTAGAAAAGAGCAAATGAGAAAAATAAGCTGATGGAATTTTTTTTTTTTTTTTTTTTGGGAGGAAGGGAGGGAGGAAGGAAGGGAGGGAGGAAGGAAGGGAGGGAGGAAGGAAGGAAGGGAGGGAGGAAGGGGGGGAGGGAGGGAGGGTGGGAAGGGAAGGAAGGAAATCAAACAACGAGAGAGACACTGCCGACCTGGATCTAGAGGTTTACAAGTTGATTTCTTTTTTTTTTTTTTTCTTTTTTTTGAGAGAAGGAAAGAAAAAAAAATGAGTAAAGGAGAGGAAGAAAGGAAGAGAAAGAGGGAGGGTGAACGGAAATATTGCTTTATTCTGAAAAAAAAAATGGGTATTAATAATGGCCAATGTTTCATTTAAACCTATGAGTAGGTGTGATGTGGTATTGACAAGAATGTATATTTTGTGTATTTGAAGTGGGGAGCTCTATAAATATTTATTAAGTTTACTTGTTCCAGATCTGAGTTCGAGTCCTTGATATCCTTATTAATTTTCTGTCTCATTGAATCTAAGTCTCTATGTATCTGGGTGTTAGGATCGTTAGCTCTTGTTGTTGCATTGATCCTTTTACCACTATCTCTTTGTTGCTTTAAGATCTATTTTATCAGATACGAGAATTGCAACTCCTGCTTTTTATTTTTTTATTTATTTATTTTTGCTCTCCATTTAGTTGGTAAATCTTTCTCCATCCCTTGGTTTTGAGTCTTTGTGTATCCTTGCATGTGAAACAGGTCTGGATGTAACATGCTGTTGGGTTTTGGCTGTATCTTTTGATTGGGGGATTTAGTCGATTTAAATTTAGGATTACTGCCATTTGATGTTAACTGGCTGTTTTAGCCATTCGTTGATGTATTCTTCTTTATGTTGGTGCTCTTTACTTTTTGGTATATTTTTAGAAAGGCTAATACTGGTTGTTTGTTTCTGTGTGTAATGCCTCTTTCAGAAGCTCTTGTAAAGCAGGCCTGGTGGTAATAAAATCTCTGAGTACTTGCTTGTTCATAAAAGATTTTATTTTTCCTTCAGTTGTGAAGCTTAGTTCGGCTGGATATGAAATTCTGGGCTGAAGGTTCTGTTCTTTGAGGATGTTGAATATTGGCCCCCACTCTCTTCTGGCCTGTAGAGTTTCTGCCGAGAGATCTGCTGTAAGTCTGATAGGCTTCCCTTTGTGGGTAACCTGACCTTTCTCTCTGGCTGCCCTTAGTATTTTCTCCTTCGTTTCAACCCTGGTGAATCTAACGATTATGTGCCTTGGGGTTGCTCTTCTTGAGGAATATCTTTGTGGTGTTCTCTGTATTACCTGGGGTTGAATATTGACCTGCTTTGCTAGTTTAGGAAAATTTTCCTGAATAATATCCTGAAGGGTATTTTCCAGCTTGGATTCATTCTCTCCGTCGCATTCAGGTACACCTATCAAACGTAAATTTGGTCTTTTCACATAGTCCCACATTTCTTGGAGTCTTTGCTCATTCCTTTTTATCCTTTGTTCTCTAATCTTGTCTTCTTGTTTTATTTCATTAAGTTGGACTTTGACCTCTGATATCCTTTCTTCTGCTTGAACAATTTGAGTGTTTAAACCTGCGCATACTTCTTGGGAATTCCTGTATTGTATTCTTCAGTTCCATTAATTCACTCATACTCCTCTCTAAGTTGTCTATTCTCAATAGGATTTCATCAAACCTTTTTTCAAAGTTCTTAGTTTCTTTATGTTGGGCTACAACATGTTCTTTTAACTCACAGAAATTTCTTATTATCCATTCCCTGAAGTGTGATTCTGTTATTGGGATGCGCTCATTCTCCATCAAGCCTTGTTCCATTGTTGATGTGGAACTGTGATCATCTTTAGAGGGAAAGGCGTTCTGATTTTGAGTATTCTCAGCCTTTTTACGCTGGTTTCTTCCCATCATTGTAAATTTATCCTCCTGTCGTCTTTGAAATTACCAACTTTCAGATTATGTCTCTTGAGTGGACGTCCAAGTTGTTAGTTCCCAGGGCCAGAACAGCGGCTTTAAGACTGATGGTGCTTTTCTGCCCAGGATTCTCCTGTCTGGCTTCCTTCTTGTGTCCGTAATAGGCAACTCTGCCTTCCCAGGGCTCCAAACCTTGGTCAGAAGGGGAACCAGTCTCGTTTACTCTGTGCTGAGAGCTGCTGTGCCGCACCGAGGTGCCATCACAGCCGATGCGCCGGCCTCAGGAGTCATGCCAGGGACCCGTGTGGGTCCTCCAAACCTTGGTTGGAAGGGGAGCCAGCTCTGTTTACTCTGCTCCGAGAGCTGCCGCACGGAGGTGCTGGCGAAACCGCTGCGCCGGCCACAAGAGTTGCGCTGGCGACCCGTGTGACTCCTCCACTGGGGTTCTTCTGCTCCGTGAGTGACCCAAATTTGTCTGAAAGTGTGGTGTCCTCTAGTTCTCTGTGCTTCCACTGAGAGCTGCAATCCCGAGATGTTAGCGATTGGCCATCTTGGATCGTTCCCCTCTGATGGAATTTTTTAAAAGGTACAAAGACAAATCCACCACTGCCAACAAACAGATTTTCAGAATATGTTCCAGGTGTATTCACTCTGACTTCTTACAACATCTTTGCCAGCTGCTCAGTGCTCCAATAATCATGAATACTTGCAGAGATCACCCAAGAACGAGACAAAATTGTATCAAGGTTAAATTAACCATTCTATTCTCTATTTTACCAAATGCTTAATAAAGAAGATGACAGTGGTAGGGGCAAGAAGTAAGGCTGATTAGGCCTGGTGGGGCCCCAAAAGCAGGAAGCCATGATCAATTCTGGAGTAGGACAGTTATGTAAGAGTAATCCAGGTTTGCTTTTCTTTGTCGTCTTTTTTTTTTTTTGAGAGAGAGAGGGTCCCACTATGTTGTCCAGGATGGCCTCAAACTTCTAGGCTCAAGAGATCCTCCTGCCTTGGCCTCCTCAGTTGTTGGGATGTGCCACTGCACCCAGTTTAGGCTTAAAGTTTTAAATGATAAAACTTGCAACTTACTTTTTAAGAAGCTAACTATCTTTGTTTATTTTATTAGTCAAGCTAGGAAAAATACTCATTACTTACAGTCATCCAAAGTACCATTTCTCAGTGGATCATCCACTTTCCTCACCATACCTGGCCCTATCGTGACTTCTGTTTCCAAAAACCAAATTCACTCTTAGCTGAAAAAGACTCTGAGGATACTGAAAAGAATGAGTCACAGACTCTCTGAAGGAAATTCAAAAAAGTAGTTCCGAAAATATTTTGAAAAATGACAGTGTCATGGGGAAGAGTATGCAGGCAGGCTTCCATGGCGATGACTTTGAAGGCAAATGCCACTCACTTTGGTGCATAAGAAGTTCTGGTGTGTGTATTAACAATCAGCCCTGTTATTTTTTAGTCATATGTCACGAAAGAATCTAGCTTTTAATATTATGGTATAAAAGACACCATTTATATATAATATGTAGTATTATATACTTTCTTCATTGATTTTTAATCCAAGTAGTAACCATGCATCTGTGAAATGCTCAGTGCTGTTAAAACCACTGTGAGGATAAAGAATAAGAACAGGGAAACTCCAAACTTTGAGCTGTACACATCGGTAATGGCCAAGCTGAAAGCCCAATGTAGACCACGCAACCACACTTCCCAAGAAAGACATGCCCAGCCATGTCTACATAGGATCCAATTCCACTTCTCTGTTCTTCAACACTGTCTCTATTTCAGCCTGTTAATCTTTCCCATTTCTAAATTTCTCATGTAACATTCATTATCTAAACAACACAATTTATTATTTGATTCTAAATCATGTACTATTTTATAGTTCATTTTTAATGCATGAGTTTCATGTTCCTACTCTAGATATTCCAAAAATATTTAGACTTTAGAGACTGTACATATACCAAGAAACTATCCTACTGTACTGCAAATAATATGAAATAAAGGTAGATGGATAAATCCGAATAAGAATATATGGCACAAAGGAGTGGGTTACTCTAAGATTAGAAGAACTAACATATAAAGCAAACAGTTATCATTACTTTAATTCTGAATTAAGCTATTACTGGGGCAAACTGCTAATAAGTTTATAAATATTATGTGGCAGTAATAGATTGGATTCAGGGAAAGAAGCTACTTAGAAGAAAACTTTTCTTCCTTTAACAGACTTTTATATTTTCATTATGTAAAATTTGTGAAAAACAGGTCTATGATATTAGTGAACCATTATCTAGCATTATTAAGGAATAAGGTGTTCATGTAAGTAAATTAATAAAGTACGTAAATCTTAGTCCTTTATGCAATAACTTTGTCACACACACACACACACACACACACATTTACATATGCTCTTTATTGGTTCTATATGACTTTTAGGATTTTTTTTTTCTAATTTAGTAAAAAATGATGTTAGTATTTTGATAGGAAATGCAGTGAGTCTGTAGACTGCTTTGGTACTTTGAGCAGTAAGGTCTTTTCCATGATATTGAATCTTCCAATCCATGAGCATGGGATGTGTTTCCATTTGTGTCATGTATGATTTCTTTCAACAGTGTTTTGTAGTTCTCCCTGTAGGGATCTTTTACCTTCTTGGTTAAGTACATTCCTAGGTATTTTATTGTTATTATTATTTTGCAGGTATTGTAAAAACGGTAGAGTTCTTGATTTGATTCTCAGCTTGGTCACTGTTGGTGTATAGCAGTGCTACTGATTTGTGCACACTGATTTTGTCACCCAAGACTTTACTGATATGGTTTGGCTGTGTCCCCACCCAAATCTCATCTTGAATTGTA